ACAGGTTATCATTCTGAAAGCATGTTCCATTTTTAATATTAACAGGAACTATTTATTATAATTATTTAATGGAAATAAACACAGTTCCTATCTAAACTACCCTAAAGAATCAGAAACACATAATACTTAATAAATGGCAAGGATTTTTTTTTTACCCCTTTCCTTGTTCAAAGTGAATTGTAATAACCAAATAGGCAGCTCATTTAAAGCACATTTGAAATGAAAAGTATCAGAGAAACCTGGCAATAAGTAACACATGATCACTGGAAAGCCAAATTTTTTCTTTCTGTAATTTCCTGAAACTATGGGGCTTGCAAATGTGATTGTGAAGAAAGGCAGGTAGCATAAAATATTGAAATCACAGTATCCGGGCTTGATTTTCCACGAGTTCTGTGATCTTGAGCAACATACAGAATCTTCCTGGATCTTAATTAATTTAACTGTAAAATAGTAATAGTAATGTTTACCTCATAGGATTAAAAAGGATAATGCTTAAGATAGTTATAATTATTGGTAATGAAAAGCAATCCTCCCACGTTTTTATTTAACGTACTTATTCGTTAAAAAGTAAAAAAAAAAAAATAATCCCAAGATAAGTGGGACAACTGTAAGGAACACAAATGAAGCAAACATCTGTAAGAAGAGAGTAAGGCAATGCTCCAGCTGCAAAAATTGTTAACGGTTAGGCCCCTTGGAGCTCACCTTCAGCTCCCTCCAGGTTCCCACCAACCCCCTTCTGTTTGATTCCTTCTCTTTCTTCCCCTGCAGGGAAGATACAAAGGTTCCAACCTCCAAAGCAATTAGGTAACGTAGGGAACCAAAGGGACTTCTTAGAGAATGTTCCTACTGACATTAAAACGTTGGCACGCAATGCCCACCCTCCATTTCACAGTTTTGCATGTGAAATAAATTAGATGCATTTCTTTATGGGTGAAAAAGAAAGAACTTGTGCTAACTTCCTGTTGGANTAGATGCATTTCTTTATGGGTGAAAAAGAAAGAACTTGTGCTAACTTCCTGCCGGAAGCTTTCCATCAAGTTGCTTGTTGAAAGTCACACAGTTTTTGCTTTTCCCGTGGTGCTCGGGTTTGCTGGAAGGTAGCCAGAGCCGGCGAGCCCACCTGGAGGTGTTTCCCTGCCCCTGGCTTTGGGCTGGGGCGCTAAAGATCTGCCACTCAGTGCTTATCCTAAGTTCTTTCAGAGAAAACAGATTGAAGATTCTTTCTAGGACAGTGTTTGCCTGGATCTGGTGAGGAATGGTGTGCGATGAGAAAGTTACCTTGGCAGAAGCTTTTAGGGAATTCTCTGAGTGCCTCATCTAACCTGCTGCCATCCACGATTTTTCCCCTGCCCCCCCTCTCAAGCCAGGCCACATTTTAGTTACCTTTTTCTCTCAGGGAAACAATGACATCCTCCTACTGATTTTATTTCCTAAGAAGATCTTTTCGTTGCCCTTTATTCCCACGGCATCATCGTACTCCAAACCACAAACAGATTCACACTGGGATTTGCAAAATTTCCTTACTGTCACTTTCTATTATCCTCCTCTTAAAAATCCTCATTTTAGCCTTTACTTAAAAATTTTATCTTTCAGCATTCAATATTTAAGTAGCTCAAATAGTATGAAGCATGCTAAATATAAAAATTTTAAGCATGTAAGGAAGTATAGAACAAACAAAAAGTCAGACTTAATAAATGCTGATAGTTTGTCATTTGTTTCAAATTACACACATACACACACACAGGTCACACACACACACAGGTNAAGCATGCTAAATATAAAAATTTTAAGCATGTAAGGAAGTATAGAACAAATAAAAAGTCAGACTTAACAAATGTTGATAGTTTGTCATTTGTTTCAAATTACACACATACACACAGGTCANACACACATACACACACACAGGTCACACACACACACAGGTCACACACACACAGGTCACACACACGCACACACAGGTCACACAGCTTACAGATACAATTGAAATTGCTGTTGTAACTCACATCTGACTCTCTTCCTTCTCACTTTCTAGATGAAGCCACTATTCTGAAATCAGTACCCCGCTTGCTCATTTCTTAAACAATACTCACTCTTTACATTGTGACTATGTAAATAACATCTACAATGTAGCCCACCTCGATTGCACTTCCTTTCATATTTAATTTCTGGATATTCCTGGGGATAATAATTGCCTCATTTAAAACTATTCTCTCCACTAGAACGTAAGCATCATGGGAGCAGATAATTTTATTTTATGCTTTGGTCATAGAAATAGTTTCAAACACTTAGATCTATATTTGTTGAACGAATGACGAGTGAATGAATAAACAAATGGTTTCCATAATATCCCTTAGGATAAACTTTAAAGTATTTATCATGGTTTACAAAGTCCTCCAAGAGTTGGCCTTTCCCTAGCTTGCCTGTATTATCTGTCCCCCACCTCCAGCCCACACACTCAATTCTTTATTCTGTGTCCAAAACACACTTCTCTTTCCTTTTAGTTTGGCCAGCTCCCATCCCTGCCTTGGTGCCTGCATGTATGCAATTCACTGAAGAGGCAACTTGAAACCTTATTCAAGTAGCTTCCACTCATATCAGCTCCTACACCATTCTGGTCTTCTCTGCTGTTAACACTCAGTATCCTACTATCATTTGACAATATTTAGGATGCTGATCTCTTTGAGGGTACAAATCCTGTTTCCTATGCACTGTGAACATAAGTATCTAATAATTTTTAGGTAAAGAATAACTACTTGATGTCCTCAATGAAAATAAGTTGAATTAGAGACACTGTTTATGTTCTGCCTGCATCATCCATTTTAATTTTCCCTCTTTCTTTTTTATTTATTTTTAATCCTCACCTGAGGATAATTTTTCCATTGCTTTTCAGAGAGAGTGGAAGGGAGAGAGAGAGAGAGAGAGAGAGAAACACCGATGTGCACATCGATTGGTTGCCTCCCACACTGGGGCGGGGGATCGAGCCTGCAACCGAGGTATGTGCCCTTGGCTAGAATCGAACTCCGGACCCTTCAGTCTGAGGGCTGATGCTCTAACCACTGAGCCAAACTGGCCAGAATGATACAACCTTCCTTCTTTTCTTTCTAGTTTTCATGACAGATTCTCTTCCTCTCTCTTCCTAACTCCTGGTCCCTGGTTCCTGCTAGTTTATGATGGCTATTAAGAATGTGGTTAGCTTAAATTTTACGTTAATGGCTTTATTGATGAAAACACACTCTCACAATATAATTCAACATTATACGCATATATGTTTGCACATATATATGTATGTACNAGTAGCTTCCACTCATATCAGCTCCTACACCATTCTGGTCTTCTCTGCTGTTAACACTCAGTATCCTACTATCATTTGCCAATATTTAGGATGCTGATCTCTTTGAGGGTACAAATCCTGTTTCCTATGCACTGTGAACATAAGTATCTAATAATTTTTAGGTAAAGAATAACTACTTGATGTCCTCAGTGAAAATAAGTTGAATTAGAGACACTGTCTATGTTCTGCCTGCATTGTTCATTTAATCTTTCTTTCTCTTTTATTTATTTTACNGACATTAACATCAGTTGATTGTCACTCCTGGCTGTTTTTCTAAATAATTATTCAATTCTAAGTGGGCTCATATCTCTTAACTGTGCTAACAATCCTACAGAGTTTTGTTTGAGTTAACTGAATTAACATTGATAAGATGCTTTAAACGGTTCCTGGCACACAGGAAGCATTATGTGTGAGTTAGTTGTTATTATTATAATGACCCAAAGGTGACCTGAACTGTCATGTTGTAGGCCGGGGTCNTGAACTGTCATGTTGTAGGCCGAAGTGGGGTAACTAAGCCAAGTGGGTGGAAGAAAGGCTTACAGTCTTCCCTAAAGCTAGCTAGTCCAGGCATCTCTGTGGCAGGTTTTAGGATGGCTGCAGCCATCAGAGCAGTCTTCTGGCAAGTGGCTCCAAGTGATCTGTTACTTTGCATCAGGGTCAGTGAGACAGGGTTACANCCATCAGAGCAGTCTTCTGGCAAGTGGCTCCAAGTGATCTGTTACTTCGCATCAGAGTCAGTGAGACAGGGTTACAAACAGCTGTAGGTTCTTTGGAAAAGTACCAGAGATCTCAATTAAAGGTTCGATTTCACATAATACCTATGTGGAGATCTTCCCGTGTTTGTATTTATCCCCTCTCCCCACATACATACATCATTTCATTCTCCTGCTGGAAAACCTCCACTGGCCCCCCACTGTCTACAGGATAAAGCCCAAACTTTTAGTTAAAGGCTTGCTTCATAGGATGGTCCTAAGACCTACTTTCATCTTCGTTTGTAACTCTGCCCATCGTTTTACTGAAGGTTGACACGCATTGACTGCGTGCTTCCTCTGTGTCGGGCAGTAGCTACATTCCAGGCAGAAAAGAAAATACATGTATGGACATGGGAGACTCAAATAGCACTGTGTGTAGATGAGAGTTACAAGCATCCCTTTATACTAGAATATAAAATGAGAGTCATACAGTGGTGGTGAATGAAAGTGGAAAGATCATAGGAGGGGGTGGGAGAGAGGGCATTTTGTGTGCCATGTTGAAAAACTTGGAATATATCCTATAAAGATATGAAAACACTGGTAAGTGCTGAGCAAAGAAATAAAAGGGATGAATCTGTATTTCTGATACATTATCCAGTAGGAAGGTGAAAAGCAGACTTAGAGGCATGTGGAATATCCTGAGGGGGTGAAAATGCCCAGTAGGAAACCTGGGGATTCTGATCTGGTTTGGTGGGGAGGGTGGGAATATAGGCCAATCTCTCTGCAAGATCTATAGATTTTCATGATCGGCCAGGTGCTGGGAAGGCTTCTGTTCCCAAGGAAATTCTTTGTCACCTAAAGCAAGGCCATCAAGATGAGAAATACTTGGAGACGTGACCCCCTCCTCCCATATCTGTGTATTTTTCAGGTGTTTTTTTTTGAGAGATGTGCCTCTGCTGACGTTGCGATACACGTACCGGTGAGGTCGTCCGTGGGCCAGGAGCCCAGCTGGCACGCCCTGCAGGTGTACTCGTCCGAGACATACTCATTCTCCTTGCACGGCGTACAGGTCCAACAGCAGCTCACCTCTCCCTTCCGGATCACCTAAGGCAAATATTCAAAATTCTGATTATTTCTTTGCATCGATAAAAATCCAGCAATCTTTTGTTCAAATGTACCGCTTTGCAGAGCAGAAAGGGATTTCACAGAAATTATTTCAAATGTTACCAGATAGGCAGTATAAGTATTAATATTATCATTATATAATCAAAGAAACAGGCTAAGTGACCAGTTCAACATCATAAAATTGGTTGGTGATAGGATCAAGAATTAAGTTCAAAGAAAGTTTTTGAATAATTAGCTTTAAATACCTGTATTTAATAAGTGTCTGTGTTTGTGCTCACATATAAATACACATATATCTACATACGTGTGTATGTAACTGAATTTTCCTGAGGCTATGTCTCTCTTTTCTTCAAATTTAGAACTTTTGCTCTCTGGATTCACCTTGGCTTCCCTCCACTAGTTCAAGTTTGTTAGCAAAAAACATTGTATATCTGCTAGATTTCAAAAATCTATCCATGTTGATAAAAAATAATTAGGAATTTGTGTTGAACGAAGAGGCAAAATTTGAACTTTCTGGGAAAGTCATCTCTTGGTCTCTGTTTCTACTAAAAATCTGGTTTAAGAATTCAGTCCATTACTTCTTATTCTAGTAGCTTTGATTTGCTTGGGATAAAGGTGGCTACAGATAAGGTCACTGAGACTATTACTGACCTCTTCATCTATTTGATATTTTAAGACAATGGAAGAGAAGTGAAATAATTTAACAGTTGAAAGAGTCTCAGATGTTAGACTGAGACTGTCTTTTCCCCCCNTCACTCTTTACATTGTGACTATGTAAATAACATCTACAATGTAGCCCACCTCGATTGCACTTCCTTTCATATTTAATTTCTGGATATTCCTGGCGATAATAATTGCCTCATTTAAAACTATTCTCTCCACTAGAACGTAAGCATCATGGGAGCAGATAATTTTATTTTATGCTTTGGTCATAGAAATAGTTTCAAACACTTAGATCTATATTTGTTGAACGAATGACGAGTGAATGAATAAACAAATGGTTTCCATAATATCCCTTAGGATAAACTTTAAAGTATTTATCATGGTTTACAAAGTCCTCCAAGAGTTGGCCTTTCCCTAGCTTGCCTGTATTATCTGTCCCCCACCTCCAGCCCACACACTCAATTCTTTATTCTGTGTCCAAAACACACTTCTCTTTCCTTTTAGTTTGGCCAGCTCCCATCCCTGCCTTGGTGCCTGCATGTATGCAATTCACTGAAGAGGCAACTTGAAACCTTATTCAAGTAGCTTCCACTCATATCAGCTCCTACACCATTCTGGTCTTCTCTGCTGTTAACACTCAGTATCCTACTATCATTTGCCAATATTTAGGATGCTGATCTCTTTGAGGGTACAAATCCTGTTTCCTATGCACTGTGAACATAAGTATCTAATAATTTTTAGGTAAAGAATAACTACTTGATGTCCTCAGTGAAAATAAGTTGAATTAGAGACACTGTCTATGTTCTGCCTGCATTGTTCATTTAATCTTTCTTTCTCTTTTATTTATTTTACTTTTAATCCTCACCTGAGGATATTTTTTCCATTGCTTTTCAGAGTGAGTGGAAGGAGGGGAGAGAGAGAGAGAGAAACATCGATGTGCACATTGATTGGTTGCCTCCCACACTGGGGCCGGGGATTGAGCCTGCAACCAAGGTACGTGCCCTTGGTTGGAATCGAACCCCAGACCCTTCAGTCTGCAGGCTGACGCTCTAACCACTGAGCAAACTGGCCAGGGTGATATAATCTTCCTTCTTTTCTTTCTAGTTTTCATGACAGATTCTCTTCCTCTCTCTTCCTAACTTCTGATCCCTGGTTCCTGCTAGTTTATGATGGCTATTAAGAATGTGGTTAGCTTAAATTTTACGTTAATGGCTTTACTGATGAAAACACACTCTCACAATGTAATTCAACATTATACGCATATATGTTTGCACATATATATGTGTATGAAAAAGTAACCCACAATCCCACCACTCATAAACATATTTTCTTATCAGTAGGTAACCTTCATTTCAGACATCTTTCTAGGAATATATATGTTTATAGATAAATATATAGACATTAACGTCAGTTGATTGTCACTCCTAGTNCAAGTTGTTAGCAAAAAACATTGTATATCTGCTAGATTTCAAAAATCTATCCATATTGATAAAAAATAATTAGGAATTTGTGTTGAACGAAGAGGCAAAATTTGAACTTTCTGGGAAAGTCATCTCTTGGTCTCTGTTTCTACTAAAAATCTGGTTTAAGAATTCAGTCCATTACTTCTTATTCTAGTAGCTTTGATTTGCTTGGGATAAAGGTGGCTACAGATAAGGTCACTGAGACTATTACTGACCTCTTCATCTATTTGATATTTTAAGACAATGGAAGAGAAGTGAAATAATTTAACAGTTGAAAGAGTCTCAGATGTTAGACTGAGACTGTCTTTTCCCCCCCACCACTGATGCATGAATAGCCTCTGTGTGGAATATATTATTCATTAAACATTCTTATAAATAATTAAAACTGTTTTTAATAACCAGCAATAACCAGACGCAGCAGTGATTACACTCTATTCCTTATCTTAGATGCTGACTATTAAGGACTTTTGCTAATAACAACGTCTAGATATTTATAACTAAATACAATTGTAAGGTAGCACCTTTCTCTTATTTTGTACCATTACTTGTGCTGGCTCCAGAGAAGTGAGGCAAAATTGCTAATTAGACTCGTTTAATCAAGCTAAAGTATTCTTTCTAATGATATTGACTATTTACTGGCTATTTAATGAATGCCATATGCTGTTAACTCATTAAAACTTTAGAACAACTCTGCATAAAAAAGCTGGTTTTATTTTATTCTTTTTTTTTCAGGGAGAAAGTGGAGGCATAGTGAGCTCACACAGCATCTACGGGTAAATGGAGACTCAAACAGTGGCCGCTGACCTTCAGGGCTCCTGCCCGTGAACACCGAGCCTTACTGGTCTATATGAAGGTTGGGTCCATGATATCCTGGAAGATGTAGAGGAAAGAGTACTGGCCGGGGAATCGGGAGGCACCACAGCTCTAGTCTTACTTATACCCACTAAGTAGTTGTGCATCCTCCCGTCGATCCTGTTTCTTCAAACCAAGACCATTGCTTTTTAAATAAACCTATCTGTATAGGGTTACCTGAGGATTACTTTTTAATGATGTAAAATATAGTAGCTAAAATTAAATGCCACTTAACTTTTTCAGAGATGAATTCATGGACAGCCTGGTAAAATTTAAAGCCCTTTTATGTATAAAACTTTATAAATGGAACTATTCTACCAGTTGGCAAAGAGTAACGAAAACCTGTCTAGATGGATAGTATGTCATTTCTACAGAGGTCTCTCATTAGTAAGTAATCACTGTATTTATTAAAATACAGTCAGGACAATTGCTCCAATAAAGGAAAGTAAACATTAAAAAATATCGCAGAACACAAAAAATGTTAACTGTTTTATTAATAGTATTCATGTAAATATTCATATAGAGAAATTAATTTCATTTTTGAGGTAATTTCAACACAATGGTAAATCTATGGTAAAACTATCATTGGATAAGTACTAGTAATGCAACCAGACACATTTCAAATACTGAAGGATCCTTTCTTAGCAGGGCCTGGCAAACAAAAGCAGTTGCATTTTCCTTCTAGAAGTATGCTGACTTCTTGTGGTTCAATTCATACTGGTTTGTGAATTTCACTTTTTTTTTTTTACCAAAATAAGTTCATGCCCTTCTCCAAGATTAAGTCGAATAATACAATTTTTTTTGAATCAGTAGTGACAACTNCTGGCACACAGGAAGCATTATGTGTGAGTTAGTTGTTATTATTATAATGAGGGCACTGACCCAAAGGTGACCTGAACTGTCATGTTGTAGGCCGAAGTGNTTTTTTTTGAATCAGTAGTGACAACTAATATATCTTCGTCTGATCATTCAAAACTGATTTGATTTACTTTTACTCACTTGTTATGTATGTTCTGTTCACATTAATTTTGCTTTGTTTTATTTATTTATTTATTTATTTATTTATTTATTTATTTATTTATTTATATCACATTTGTTTTGAATACAAGAGGTGGAGACAATTCTTTTCCATAGTAATTCCCATTCTTTTTGAACATCCTGGAAGTAGTGCTGCTTTCGTTATGAATAACAATATGTAACATATTTGAACCTTTGCTAGACTAATACCCTTTCATGGACACTATGTTAGTAAATCTGAACAATGCCATAAGAGGCTGATATCACTAATGAAGTTGCTAAGTGAGAACCTTAAACTATATTAAGAAAATATTGTAAATTTTATATTTAATAGGGTGAAAATGAGATCTGGTTGTGAAAACAGAATTTGGAATTAAAATGACTGAATAAACATTATTACAAATTAACTAGTATTTAAAACATTGTAATAGAGAATCAAATTATTTCACTGTTAAATTATTCCTAGTAGAATAGGTTAGAAAAGTATATACACTTGACCCTGGACAATGCAGGGGCTAGAGGCACCAAACCCCCCTCCCCTCCCCACCCTGGCACAGTCCAAAGTCCATATATAACATTTAACTCCACAAAAACTTAAGTTGTCCTGCAGGGAATTGTTTCCAAGACCCCGTGCAGATACCAGAATCTGTGGATGCTCTCAAGTCCTCTCTATAAAAGGGTGTAGATTGATGCATGGTATAAGGAAATCTCCCAAATCAGTCATGCAGCATTTTGAAGTTATGTGTTCAAACCGTATTGCTGTGAAGAGTCAAAACAACATCCATGTGCAATTTACACAGGATAATACTTCTACAGGAGGAACTGGAAATTGTGGACAATCAATATTCTGAATGAATCCATAAAGAATTTCACATGAAGTGTTTAACTGCAAGATGATCAGCCAAGATGCAGACTGTAATTGTATACTAAGGGTCAGCAAAATTTTTGCAAAGGACCAGACAGTAAATATTTTAGGCTTTGTAGGCCATACGTTCTCTGTTGAAATTCAACTATTCAACTCTAGTTACTATAGTAGCCATATGGAAGTAGTTATAGACAATACATAAACCAATGAGCATGGCTGTGTGTCAATAAAACTTTATTTACAAAAACAGACAGGAGGTCAGATGTGGCCTGTGGGTCGTAGCTGACCGACCCTCGTGTACCATAACAAAACATGAGGAACTTTTCAGATATTGCGTGAGCCATTGGGCTATTTAGAAGATATTAATAAATTTATATTTATGTCATTCTTCCTTCTGGCCTTATGCTTACTAAATCTGCACGACGACCNTAAGGGTCAGCAAAATTTTTGCAAAGGACCAGACAGTAAATATTTTAGGCTTTGTAGGCCATACGTTCTCTGTTGAAATTCAACTATTCCCTGAAGACCTTAACAACTGATACTGAGATAGTCAATGAGCGATCACCTCAAATGTGTTCTAAACAGTGAGGTGAGGCTGACTGAACAGAGCAAGGCCGACTCCTCTAGGTATAGTCAGTGCCCGAAACATCCTGTAGTACTTAATAACTATTTGATGAATACATTATTTTGATACTGTTTTTTCCTTCCCCTAGGTCATTGTGACCCAATAGATAAGCTCCTTTTCATTTTTATTACACTCTCCTCCTCCTCTCTCGCTGGATTATTTCCTGTTGGCCAGACCTTATTTAGTATAACAGTAGCTTTCATTTACCTCAAACTGCCAGAATATCCCCTTACCTGCTTTGCACATACATTTCTCCTTGCTCAGTTCTGTTCTATTCTATTCTATTCTAAATTCTAAATTCTAAATTCTAAATTCTAATTCTAATTCTAATTCTAATTCTAATTCCTATCCTATCCTATCCTATCCTATCCTATCCTATCCTATCCTATCCTATCCTATCTATTCTACCTGGCTTCTGTTTCTAGAAGGTCCTAAGTGAAGGGCTAACCCCAATTCTCATGTCTTTCCTTCAGCCCTTCTCTTCCTTGGCCTCTCACTTCCATAGACCACCATCTTACATGACATCGAGCTCTCTGGTTCTCTATCTGTCCCTGACCCTGTTGCCGCTCACCCTCAAGCTTTCCTTCTTTAAAAAAATTTGTTTTTTTAAATCCTCACCCAAGTATATGTATTTATTGATTTTAGAGAGAGAGGAAGGAGAGGGAGAGAGTGAGAAAGAAACACTGATGTGGGAGAAAAACATTGATCCATTGCCTCCCACATGCACCCCGACTAGGGATTGAACACACAACCTGGGCATGTACCCTGACCAGAATCAAACCTGTGATCTTTCAGTGTTCGGGGTGATGCTCCAACCAACTGAACCACACTGGCCAGAGCTACCTTTTCTTCTTGCAGATCTTCTTCAAGGTCTCTATTTTTGGTGCACATTTATTTTCTCTCTATACTTTCAGGTGTAGGGACCTCATCTACTCAAACAGCTTCAACTTCAGCTCTGTTCAATTAATCCCCAAATCTGTATCTTCAACCTTATTTCTCATTGTTATAGACCAATATTTTTCATCACTGACTAGATATATCAAAACCAACAGGCCCCAAACTAACCCACTGCCTTTTCTCTAAAACCATTTTCACTTTTCTGTTTCCGACAATGGTATTTTCTAGTTACTAAGACTTGGAATCACAGCCGATTGTCTCAGACTTCTTTTTCTTTTCCAACCCTCTAACCAATTGGTAGCCAGGGCTGGTTGAGTCTACCTCTCTAATGTTCATCTCAAGTGTCTCCTTTGCTCACTTTCCATTCTCACTCTTTCTTCTACAATTCAGGGCCCTTGTCACCACAGTGTCCTCCTAACTTGTCTCTTCTTTCGTTATTTATGTTTCATAGCTCTATTCAGCTATAGCCCAGCATATGTCCACATTTTGGTCAAAATTATTCTCAGACTCCTTGGTTAATAAAATTAAGTTCAACCGATGTAGTTTGACATTCAGAAACTCTCCATAAATATGGATTCCATCTATGATTTCAACTTTCTCTTTTATAATAACTAGACCTGAGATTATTCACTGTTATTTCAGAATAATCAACCACTTTTATACCTTTCATATTAATGTTCCTTTACTAGAACAGTAAGTGATTATTTCCCCTCGTCTCTCTCTGAAATCATATCCATTGTTCATGGTGCCATGTCTGACCTTTTATTCAGAAGAAATCTCTCCCTTTCCTTTGTATGAACTTATATAGCTCCCTTTTTGTCTTTCTTAATAATGTCATCACATTCTACATGATGTTATTTATCCGCGCCCAAAATATTTTTCCTCATCTGGATTATAAATCTTCTGACAGTAAAGGTGTCTTATTTATTTTTCCCCATTGACATAAACTATTACATTACTAGGAGTTTGATAAATATTTGTTAAATTAATTGCAAATGAATATGATTTTCAACTGTGAACTATTCATTCCCAGAAAGCATGTCTTCAAAAGCTTACACGAGTGGAAAGGGTATGGGCAAACACTACTCATCGATCAGTTCCATGAGTCCAAGTGCTAAGGTTATTGTGGATCATACTAGGTATCATAAGGAATCAATGAGAAAAAAGGAAAAAATACATTTGCTGACATTAGAAGCTTATGCATAAAAGATAAAACAAGTATCTAAAATTTTAAACAACAGCCAAAGATAATGAACGCTTTTGAATTTACAACAAAAATGAAAGCAGCACGGATGCCGTTTTACCTTTATCTGGCCTTTCTCGCACGGCTCGCTGCACACGGATCTGATGATGGTGCTTTTCTTGGACCATACTTCGTCGTCATCCATTTTTAATTCTCCATTATCCCAGCTTCCAACGTTGATATAATCAAAATAATCTTTTCCCATTTCCTTGAAATTCATTATTTCATACCTTAGGAACAAGAGTATAATAATCATTCAGCTAACAATATAAAACGCCAGCTATGAGGAAGCAATAGATTGCATTCCCAAACAGTGCAGCTACTGTCAAAGCAGGGACACTGGAATTTTCCACGACAGTCCACTAAGAATAACAAAAAGCCTGTCTGTTTCACTTTGTCTTCAGAAACTTTTTTTTTTTTTTTTAAATGCAGGCTTACACCTGAAATAGAAAATAATCCCATGTGAGAAGGAGACCTGACCTTAGCAGGATGAAAGACAAGTTTGGAAATAACATCAAGAAGTTAAAAAAGTACTGCTGTTAGGCTTCTACAAAAGATAGACAGGTTTTCGTCCCCACTCAAGTAAAATAAAATTTTCCTTTTCCAACCAAGTGAGAAATTTGGTAAATCTTTAATTTGTCCTCAGCTGTAGGGTATGTGGGGGTAATTTGGATAGGGCCTGATTTTACCTTTCTTATTTTACCCTTTTATCAATGGCTAAATTCACTCTATAAAGACACCCACAGGAGTGATATCTGAAATAAGTCTGAAAATAAGCTTCTAAAGCATCTCATGCAATGTAAAAATCCTGGGATATTCTAGCACCATGTGAGTTCTCAGCCTTTATTGGCTGTTATTTTTGAGTATGGGGATACAGATGTAAAGAGGGAAAATTGATGCGTGTGCTCAGGTGATTTTTCTTATATGCAAGAACATCACCAGAGAAGCATTTCTGAAATTATTTTTCAATCTGGGAACACTGGCTGAGCGGTATCCCCACTGCATCAGTTCCTGCACCCATACCTATAGGTATGTCTTAGGGGCAGATGTTTCCACATAGTACCCTATGGTCCTCCCTCCCAGGGCTTACAGGGTTGGCAGATGGGCTCTTGTAAATGCCTCCTGCAACCTTCCATGCTCAGCGTATTCAGTTATCTGGAAATTGACATGGATGGAAAACTTTTTAGCTTTTGGGTTCAAGTTGTCAGATGATCATATTCATACCAATGCTCAGCACATAAATACTATGGACAAATCTGACATCAATCTGTTTGGACGCACACTGTAAAATGATACCATTCAGTCTTCATTCACAATCACATTTTTTACTATAGTATCTTTTTCAGAATGTTAACTCATTCTTAAGTTTTGTTGGCTGTTCAGTGGCTTAAGAATTATTCTACAGTGTTTTATTTGCAGTGGGTAAAAATTTTTAGTAACTGTCTAAATCCATTTCTAAACCCAAAGTACCAATCTATAGGATACAAAACTGAGTCCTACATCTTTCCACTCTGCCAGTTATCCCATGGCTACCAAGTATATAATAAGTTGAGACAGCAGAACACAGAACACAGGTAAAAAGAACTCATATATTATGTCATTGGCTGCTTCAAATACATTGGGCTTCTAAGAAGGTCTTCAAAAGGTGACTCTGTGAGCAAGTAGCTTTTGAACATTCTCGGCTGGGAGGAAGAAAGAAATGTTGATGTCAGGAGGCTTCTTTCTTTGCTGCTATTGATTTGAACAGATATGAGAGTTTCACTGTTCACCCCCAAATGAGCCATCAATCTCATTATACCAGTTCTTAACTCTGAAAAGATATAGTCCAAACTGTTAATTCACAGCTAATGGAACTGAAGCTCGGTGAGGTTAATGAGCGTGACCAGACTGCAGAGCACGCAAGCGGCCAAGCCAACACCTAACCTCAGCCTTTAAGGCTCCATTATCGAGCTAGAGCTAAGAGGTCAATTTCCATTGTTTCAATATTGCAGAAATCTACTCTACATTTTAAGGCTTTTTATGACTATCACCATGCTTTTTTTGTTTTATATAGAAATGGTAAAAAGTGAAGGGATCTAGGTTTTGAAAAATAAGCATGACAACTCTTTGCCTCCCTCATCTGCCACTTCTTTAACTGGCCACAATTTCAAGTTGAAATATCCTGAATTTTTAAAAAATTAATTTTATATACTATGCAAAAAAAATCTAAAATATGTTTTAAACAAAAGGAATAAAAAGCAGGGCTCAGTTACATAAATAAATTTCTGAGTGGTTATAACTTTCTGAAAACTAGAGCAGGCTCCTTCAGAAATAGTGAGGTTTTCCTTACCCAACGGGGTAAAGTCAGAGGAACTAAAACATCATTTGGTGGAGGGCATTGTGGAGAGTACTGGGTTTACATGGCTCCTAAGGTCCTCTCAGTCTATAATTCTTGTGCCAAGGTGCTTTAAAAAAAAACTTTAGCTCTTAAATATGTGATAAATTTTCTGTTGGTCAACATAATGGACACTCCAAACACTCACTGGTCCCTGTAACAAAGCAATTATAATGATCTATGCATTTGGGGTGGTATAATCACAGATTAAAGTGACACCACAGAGTTGGTTTGAGCAAAAATTTTAATGGTAACTAATAATGAAACCTTTTCTAAATATGTGTATATGTGTGTGTGTGTGTGTGTGTGTGTGTGTGTGTGTATCCACATACATATATGTAGAACCACTTCAAATGTTATATAAAAAACAATGAAAAAAATCCAAGGTAAATTCTTCTAACTTGATGTTTATGCCTAAGATCTGTATAGTGTCATTTTTCTGTTACTAATTGACTGTGTAACCTTGAGCATTCCTCTTCCTTTCTCTGAAACTCAGTTTTCTCCCAGGGAAGTTAGGATTGAAACATATCATCTCCATGGTCCTTCTATGGACAGAGCCATATAATAAGAATCAGTGTGCAAACTAGCTCAGTGTGAATTTCTAGTGTCCTACCCTTGTTTACTATTTGTCACATCTGTTTTTATCCATCTGGTCCTCATTTCCTGTCTTCTTTTGGAATCATTTTGGTTTTAGTATTCCTCTATTGGCGTTTTAACTGTTCCTCTTGTATTAAAATTTTAGTGGGTGCTTACAGGACTAAAATATGCATTCCTAATTTATCTGATTTTCTACTTAAAATTAATGTGCCACTTAAGGTAAATATAAGAACCTTGCCCTTGTATAATTCTATATCCCCTTCCTTCATATTGTCAAATATTTTATATTTACATATTTTATATCCACTTATAAGCCACTTGTAATGTTTAACATTATAACAATATAATGTTAAAATTTTTGCTTTAAATAGCCATTGGTCTGACATTGACTCTCCATGTTTCCTCTGTCCAATTATGGTCAGTCCCAGGCTGTGACAAGGCCTCTGAAACCTCAGTTTTCAATGAACTCTCTATGCCAGAGGTGAGAAAACTTCTGCTGTACAGGGACAGACAGTAAATACTTTAGGCTAAGTGAGATTGTCTCTGTTGAAACTTCTCAACATTGCTCGTGCCATGTGAAAGCAGCCACAAACAGTATCTAAACAAATCAGTGTAAATGTGTACCAATAAAACCTTATTTATGAAGACAGCAGACTCGATTTGGTTTGCAGACCATAGTTTGCTGACCCGTGATCTATACTGCTGGTGGTGAATAGTACAGGTCCATGTTTCTTATCTATAACTCCAGATTCCTTAGGGCTTTGAAAACCACAGTTTTTACTTTTATAATTTCACTTGGCAGTGTAACATGACCCAATCTGAATTTACCTAGTGACAGAACCTGACCCACACTGTCATGAGGCTATTTGTAGCCTATTTATCACACTTCATGTGAATATTCATATGTTTTGCTGCAGAAATATTAATGTGTTGATTAAGCAGTGCTGCTCCACAGCATGCTGGGGGCATCAGAGGACTGTATAACTTTTGTAGATTTAAACATTTTGAATTGTGTTGCACACTGGCACTAAGGTTTTCATTAAAGAATTGTGAGCTGATAGGAGTCCAATTAGATGTGAGGTTGAAAAACAATGATTCTAGTTTACTCTCCAATGATTCACAAGTGTGTGCACCTGAGTGGGCTGCTACCTCTCTGAGCTTCCTCTGCTTAGGCTCCTCCTTTGCAACTGGCATTTTAAGGGAACACTTGATTACCCCAGGCTCCTCTGGTTCATTGCTCCATTTGGAAGCAAATAATGGCTTTTTGGTTGTGATCCTGGTTGATTAATTGGCAGGATGTTGTACTCAGCAGACTGAGTAAGAATCCTGATTATCACTTGTTAGATTTGTCTTTGGGGAAGTCATCTAACCTTTGTGAGTTTCAGTTTTAAAGTCTTTATCTGGAAAAGAGAATAATAATATTACTTATCTCAGGATTAAAACAGAGAGTTCAACTTAGTGTTTGACTCAGAACACACACTCAATAAATTTATCTGAGTTCTCCTTATTTTGTAAATATAACTGGATTAGTTGGAAAAACAAAAAGTTGCAAACCACCTTTTCCTGAGTCTGGCTCATGCCCTCAAAAGCCAATTCTGATAATTTATTAATGGGTTAATATAATACCCAACCTTAGTAATGCATGGAAAATATCTAAACAACTGTGAATTCCGAGAAATTGTTTGTAAAATTTCATGTATATTGTCATTGAGAGAATACTTCTAAATTTTATCTGAGTCTTAAAGAGATTCATGCTCCAAAAAAAAGGTTAAGAACTATTGTCGGAAATGTGCCCCATTACAGCATATTTGGAGGATTATAACTGAGACAGGGATGTTCTGTCTGACTCATTAAGATTTCCCATTGGAATAGAGCTGAGCCACTTCTTCACTATCTGGGCTGTGAAACTGGCTTGGGTGTATGATATGAAAACTCTTTGAACTGGTGAACCTGTAATCATTAAAGTTTGTAAACAAGTCCCAAGCTAATGCCAGTGCTGGAGGGATGCATATAGGAATGATAAATCCATGTGTAGAGGCCTTGACCTAAGCCCAAAGACTGAGCTCATTGGTCTACCTGCCACAAGAAGCGTTACAACAAATGCCAAGTTTCTTTGACCCCAGGAAAATGCTTTTATCTCTCCCACCCACTCTGCACTCCTTGCTGCCCACCTCCCCCAGTGGATATACTGAACAGTCAAAAATTAGAAAACCACATACGAAAAGTCAGCTAATATTAGCTAACAGCCTGCCTGGAGCAATAGTCTTCACATCTCTAGAAAGAGAAAATACCCAGCTTTCCTCTTGGCTGTGTGACTTGACACTAGTTGTCACTTATAAGTCCAGCTAGCGGGATGGTAAGAGCTGCATCAGAGACAAGCTACAGCTTACCTTGGGAATATGGAAACAAGCTAATCCAAGGTGGTTGTTACAATGTGTAGGTACCTAGTTTGTAAATCATGAAGCCTTCTTTTGGCACCTTCAACTGGTCAACTGCAAACATTGTGTAAGGTCACCCTCTGCAAGCACAGCTGTCAAGCATAATCTGCTACTGGAAGAGTACTCAGGATTTAACAGTGGGAGACCAAAGGACCCCGATTGTTCTGGAGCAACGCAGAGTGATAGACCCAGCCCTAATACAAACCAGAATATCAATTCAATGACATCATCCCTCATGGATTAAAAGTTCCATGTGTAGAGTCACCTAAGAGTTTGGAGAATGAAATAGATGTAAATTCTGATAAATCCTAGGTACTTAACGATTTTCCCTGGAGGCTGACCTATAATTATGAGTAAGTTCATATTTTCAGGCTTCTCTCTGTAAGTAATGAAAGTGAAATTTCAGAGAAAAAGGCAATTTAGTCCTTCTGAAGGGAAAGAGTACGCCAGTTGGAGGGTAATAAGATAAAATATGACATAACTCACAGTAGGTACAGTGAACAATATAACAGCACCTCATGCCTGTTTCTGGATTACCAGAGATTGAATTATTTCTGTTTCAGAATAGTTTTATGACCCAAGGACAGATCAGAATACAGGGAACAGCATGGCAAACAGAACTTGTTTTCCATTATGATAATGTGAGGCTCCTGCCTCTATGTTTAGATCTCTGAAATGTGGGGATGATTCCAAGGCCATGTTTTGCACATCGGCATCAATACTTTTCCCTGACTATAGGAAGTAGGGCTTTCCCTCTCTGTCTCTGCTCACTTTGTGATGTCAGAGCTTGTCGGGCATGGCCAGGAGGCCTGTATAACCACAAAGGACAGAAACAGGCACTTCAGGATCAAGTGATGGCTGTTGCTCAGGATCTATTGTCTAGAGGAGAATTGTAACAATACCTTCCTGGAGAGTCTCCATTCTCATCGAATAGGATCATATCTCCAGAAACCCCAGTAAAGTTGGTTTTCATCAGGGAGTCCAAAAGTTTCTGTCCATCAATAGGTTTCATTGCATCGCAGAGGCCCGCATAGCCTGGGCAGAGGGACATCTGCATGTTGTGAAGCCCATAGGCCATGGAGTAGATTGCATTGATCACAAATCCCATTTTGGAATCTTGAACGTGATGTGTTCTCAGAGTCAGAGAACCTGTGGGAAACAAATTAGGAATTAACTTTGAGATTTAATTCTACTATAGCTACGTCTATGATTCTGAATAATCAGAGAATGTAGTGGAGCAATATTATAGCTAGAACCAGAGGCAATACTAAGACCCAGGTGCTAACATATTATGCCTAATAATTATCTTCTGTTTCCTATTTTTTCCCCTCAAAACCCCTTTGGACTTGAATCTCCAAAAGTACCAAGATTCACTTACCCCATTACCGGACTCTGGGAATGAATTCAGGATAGTACTGCATTTCTCTACCCCAAAAATTACCTTTAGGATGGATTAATCTCCCTGAACTCAGCTGTGATAACTAACATATCTCCATGATTTAGCAATCCTCAACAAATCTCCAGTGTCCAAACTATTAAGTTCTTACTTAGATGAACAAACAAGATCCTCCACTATCTTGTCTCAACTTACCTATTTAGATTTATCACCTGTCACTTCCAACCGCAAATCGTATGCTATCCATAAACTGGACTATTTGGATATCATGAAATATAACATTTAAATGCCATTAATTCATTAATTAATTCAATAAACATTTATTGGAGTCAGAGTATACATAAAGGTGTGTGGCAGACGAGCTGGGGAAACCTCAAAGATGAAATGACCCTGGATTTTGCACTTAAGAAGAAACTTGTTAAATAATAAATTATGTAGCTAAAGAGAAAAGCATAAGGTGATAACTCTGTAATACATGTGGAGTTAAAATCTATAGAGGCGCAAAGAGGGAGAGATCCCTTCCAATGAAGGGTTCTTGGGAAAGTGGCAGTAAAGAATTAACATTCAGTATGGGTTATTGATTCAACAAATATGGAGCGAATGCCTGTTCCTTCTGACTGCTCGGAACTTGCTGGGAGTGGGGGACATAATGTTGAACGAGAAAGACGTAATTCTTGCTCTTGTTTACTTAGAGTCTAGAGGGCAGGTGAGTGTCTGGTTTGACAAGTGCTGAGGCCGTACTGAATCAGGAGGGGCACCAGACCCGAAGTGCACCGAAGCTGAGCGTCATGGTGGAGTATCAGCGGATGAAAAGCAGGGGGAAGAGTGTCCCAAGCATGGCTGAAGGTTCACAGATGAGACAGAGATACTGGGTTTGGGAAATTTTAAGAAGACTGGAATGGCCAGAACATTGAATGGGAGGTAGGAGATTGGGGAGAACTTAAATAGTAAAGGAAAAAAGAACTGACTAAGCCACTTTAAGTTTGCTGTGCTTTATTATAAGAGCATGGGGATCCTTTATAGTGTTTAGGAAGGAATCTGATCAGATTTACATTTTAAAAAGACCAATCTGGCTACAGTGTGGAGAAAGATTTAAAGGGCTCTAGGAGTGGAGTCAGGAAGACCCATTAAGAGGCAATGCAAAAGAAAAAAAAAAGGCAATGTAACAACCCCAGTGATAGCTGAACATGGCCTTGACTAGGGCAGAGGCCATCGTCATGGACAGGAGTGTTTAGGAGACAGAATCTACTCCCAGGCCCAGTGACTGAAATTGCATACAGGACGAATGAGACATACAGGAAGAGCACAGTCATAAGGCGAAAGGAACAGCCACGGTAATGACAGAGTTTGTCATTTGGTGAAAAGCTTCCTTTAAGTGGGATAAAAAGGAACTCTCCCAAGATAGCATGGTTCTTGATGAGTTTCCAAACTACAGATATATATTACCCCATTCTGGATTGCTGGCCCAAATGCTGACACTGTTTCCCTGAGCACAGAGGATCAGTAGGAAAATCAGTATGGTTCACCCTGACATAAGAATTAGATGAGGAATCCTGCTTCCTTCTCAAGGCTAGACACCGGCCCCAGGCTGCCAACCAAATCTTACCATTTCCTTCTCTACACTGAGTCTATTCACAAGTCTGCATTTCCCCTCATACTGCTGGAAACTCCATTCTTCTAGGTGCCAAGTCAAATACTCTGGAGATACTCTTGACTCCTCTCTTTCCTGTGTAACTTCTCAACTCTTATTTGATCTATTTTGAAAATATATCTAGAATGAAACTATTTCATACTGCTCTACTTCTGCCAGGTTCGAGATACATCATTTCCTGTCTGTATTACAGCAATGGTCTTTTAACTGGTCTCTTTTCTACCTTTGTCCACCCTCCTTGTACTCTAGCCAATTTTCAACAAAGTAGCCAGAAAAATTCTGTTAAAATATGTCAGATCATGACATTCCTCTGATCAAACATACCAGCGGCTCCCTTATTACTGAACGTAAAAGTCAAGTCCTTGCAATGACCATGGAAGGTGTACAGGAGCTTGGCTCACGGTGCTCCACCCTAACCTTTCTGACTCCATTCCTGGTCCCCTGCTCTTAAATTATTCCTTTCTAGACACACTGACCTCCTCCTGATCCACAAACATGCAAGGTGTGCCTCTGCCTCCAGGCCCTTGTACTTACTGCTCTTTCTACCTGGAATGCTCTGCCTCGGAGATCTGCAGAGCCTGTTTCCTGCCCAGTTCAGGTCTTTACTCAAATATCATCCTCTCAGTAAGACCTTCTTTGGACATTGTGCCTAAGTTGCACTTCCACCCCACTCTTTCCACACTCTCCCCATCTCCTTTCCCAGTATTATTTTTCTCCTTACCACCATCTAAAATACTATATATTTTATATATCTGTCTTGCTTATTTGTCTGTCGCACCCACCCAGTGAAATGTAAACTCCACGAGGACTGGAATTTTATTCTGTTCTGTTCACTACTCAGTGCCTAGAATACTACCTGACACATAGTGGGTCCTCAACAAATATTTGTTTAATGAATTAAAGACCTGTCCTCTCTAACTAGATTATTCCATTTTCTTTTCCTCCCTGACCCTACTAACACTAATCCTACCTATTTGTAAAGGCTCCAAGAGCACTTCCTAATGAAGACCACCATGACTGCAGATACTAAAATTAAGTTTGCCCTTCCCAGCTCTCTATTACTTTCCCTCCTTCTCTCTCAGGCACCCTGTATAGTGATGTAGGCACACTTAGGGGAAGAATTCAAACATCCAGTCCCCTAGTCAGTCCATTTCCTACCTTCCTCTGTTTAAGTCTTTAAATAGAGGCAGAGTTACTCGCCTGATTGATTCAACTTCCAGAAAACTGACTGAAAACAGGTCATCTTTGAGGCCATCTTAGATGCTTGATATTGAGCCTAAGCCACAACCTACACATCAGCCTCCAAACCCACTATCGGGATTCAGCAACAGGTGACTCTGTGTCTATTAAACAGGTGGTAGTTTGAGTCCCACTCTTTTCTTTTTCATCTTATGAGCGGAATTGGGAGATCTAGGTTTACACGCCTGCTTTGTGTCTTCCTAGCTCTGTGACTTGGACAAGTCACTTAAATTCTCTGAGATTAAATTTAATCATCTGTTAAATGGCGACCTTTATCTTACAAGGGTGATATGAGAATTAAATGTTATAAGAAAGTCATAAGTACCTCAAGCAAAGCCCAGCACAAGGTAAGTCCTTTATAAATAGTAACTATATAAAAATGTAAACCATAATAACCTTTAGTCACTATGTTATGTGGTTGAGACTTTGGAGAATAAAAGTAAGTCAAAGGTCTCATCTGATGTGATGCTGAGTAGAGCTCTCAGGCAGTCATCTTTTAGATTCTCTTTATGCCTTTTTTTTTTTTTTAATGCATTGTCTGCAGAAGACAGCAACTAGCACAAAAGCAACATTTGAGCCTTAGTCATTTGCAAATCAAATTACAGAGCTGAGGACATGATTACTGTACTGTTTGTTGAATGGGTGCAAGAATGGAAATTTGCATTTGTTTGGCAATTTTCAAAATAATTTTTGTGTGTACCAGTGATGTGCATCAACTCTGTATCCAAACTGTAGAGATAAAGAAACTGAAGTGGAGACGGGTTAAGCAGATTTTTCAAGGTCACACAGATAGTAAAACTCAGAAGTAGACAAGAATTTCTAGTGTCAAGATTAATGTCCTTTTTGCTATACAATATTGCTTTTCACTGGAAATATGCACCCCCTGAACAATATACTGTTAACTCCTTATTAAAATATTTTAATTAAGAGATAAAGTTAGGGAGAAACAAACTAGTAACAAGATTGGGTTTTTCCTGGAAAATACTTTGTTTCTGTTCTCTCAAATAGTGCCCATGGTGTTGCTGAAAACCTGGGCCCAGGAATATACAGAACGAGCTGGCCAACAGCAAGAGCTTCAAATCCAAAGAACACAGGTGTTTGTGCACAGTCTGTTGAATCATTTGTTACTATTGAGCATCCAGGAACAACTGGCCTATTTGGGGAGCATTAGGGTCTTGTAGAAGGTCCTGGTAACTATTTTCCCTTGCCACCCAAAGATTCCAAATGATTGCAAATTTGTTTAAAAAGTTGCTAGAACAAACTAATGGAACTTTAGCTTTTGTAATTTCTCAAGTCATTTTGATACATGCATTAAAAAAAAAAAAAAAAGATATTACAAACTGTTTTGGCATTCAGGATGCAGCAGGGGTTCAATTCAGACATTCAGGTTTGAATTCTGCCTACACCATTTCACCCACTTTCCAGACTTTTTCCTTCATTAGATGAAGCAATTCATGGCTGAGCTCTCACCTTCAGGGGGTTGACAGAGCTGAGCTCTGTTGAAATGTGTGCTAACAAAATAACTACTGTACAAAATGCTTTAATTTCATAAAGCTCAATGAACTAGGAGCTGTTTCCACTATAGCTGAAGAAACTAAGGAAATCAAGATGACTGTAAATAACTGGCAAATTTAGACTAAATATTTGTAAAAGTGGGAGAGCCGTGGATTAGGGAATTCTCCTGCCTCTTACCTTTTCAGGCTTAGATCTCTGTCTAACTCCACTGCCAAAGGGGGTGAATCTTTAAGATGTTATCTTACTTTATGTTAGAGAATGCATGTCACCTCCTAAGAGCAGCAGAGCACAGAGGATAGGAGTACAGGTTCTGGAGCCGGGCAGTAGGTCAGAATCACCCCAGTCAGC